ATAAATAAAGATATAAAATTAAATCCAGTGCACAGATAAGAGAAGGAAATAGTATAAGTAAAATGCGATAAAAGACGGAAATAATATAAGTAAAACACGATAAAAGAAGGAAATAATATAAATACAATAAAGACATAGAATTATAAAGAAGGAAACAATATAAGAAAAAAAAAAATAGAAGACGCTGAACAGGATCTTCAAGAATGGCTTCATGCGCGGAGGTTTCTTCACCAACTGTAAGTACCAAAATAGAAGCGAATTTGTTTAATGTGGTATATATATATATATATATATATAATAATATATAATATATATAATTAATATATATATATGTGTGTGTGTTGTGGTGTGTGTGTGTGTGTGTGTGTTGTGTGTGTGTGTGTGTGTGTTGTTTGTGTGTTTGTGTGTGTTGTGTGTGTGTGTGTGTGTGTGTGTGTGTGTGTGTGTGTGTGTGTGTTGTGTGTGTGGTGTGTGTGTGTGAGAGAGAGAGAGAGAGAGAGAGAGAGAGAGAGAGAGAGAGGAGAGAGAGAGAGAGAGAAGAGAGAGAGAGAGAGAGAGAGAGAGAGAGAGAGAGAAGGGAGGGGTGGGGTGGGGGTATGTGTGTGTGTTGTTTTTGCGTTGTTTATGACATGTTTATGCTGATTCATGTATCATCGAAAATAGATGTCGATTCCATTGTCAAAGGCACCATAGTACACCAATAAACTGATTCACTAAATAAACTACTTCATTAAATGTGCGTTAGTGTTTGTAAAAAGGGAATTATGGTGTCAGCTGTGGTTTTAATGCCTTTGGGAGCAAATACAGTAATTAGGTGTAAATGGGCCAGACAGCATCTTTCAAGTGGATCTGATGTGAATAATATGTTAACGAAAGACGAAGAGAAAGGAAGAAGGAAGATTTTATGTTCAGGGATATTGCAGAGAGAGAGACAGGGAGAATGGGGGAGAGAAGGAGAGAGGGGGAAAAGGAGAAAGGAGAGAGGAGAGAGGGGAGAAAAGGCAGAGAAGGAGAGAGGGAGAGAAGGGAAGAGGGGGAGAAGGAGAAAGGGAAAGAGAGAGAGGGAGAGACAGAGAGACAGACAGACACAGAACGAAGGGAAGAGGGGGAGAAGGAGAAACAGACAGACACAGAACGACAGAGACAGACAGAGATAGCCAAACAGTGACAGGCACACAGACGAACGAAAAGTAAGAGAGAGAGAGACGAAAGAAAAAAAAAGAAAAGGAGAAGAGGAAAAGTAGGTCTCTCAGTATTTTTTTTCTGGACAATACCGGTATCGTTACAATGCAATATATATTTTTTTTCTTTTTTTATCGATTATCATTTTTTTTTCTTTCGCTGTATCGTGCTTAATAGAGCATGGCGTTGGCTGCAGTGGCATGCAAGGGGGGAGAGGGGATAGAAGGAGAGGGGAAGGAAGGGAGGAGAGGAATAGAGGGAGGGGAAAGGAGAGAGGGGGAGTGAAGGAGGAAGAGAGGGGGTGAGGAAGGGAGAAAGGGGAGGAGGAGAAGGGAGAGGGAGGGGGGAAGAGGGAGGGAGAGGAAGAGTGGGAGGGAAGGGAGAAAGGGAGAGGGGAGAGATAAGAGTGGAGGGGAAGGAAAAGGGAGGGAGAGAGGGGAGTGTTGAAGGTGAGAGGGAGAGGATAGATAAATGGTAGGAGGGGAGAATAGAAAGGGGGGAGGAAGGGAGAGAAACGGGGAGGAAGGGGGGGCAGGTCTTAAATGAAAGGAAAGAATCTGGGATTATGGGTATGTAGGTTTGTGGGAGTCATTTTTATGTTGTGACAAAGGAAGCATATTTTTACAACGATGATGTGTGATTTCTTTTTAAATGTTTTTTTTTTTTCTTCCTCTTTTTTTTAATGTTGACGTTTCGGATGTGTTATTTCTTCCTGTCTGTCTGTATCTCTCTCTCTCTCTCTCTCTCTCTCTCTCTCTCTCTCTCTCTCTCTCTCTCTCTCTCTCTCTCTCTCTCTCTCTCTCTCTCCTCTCTCTCTCTCTCTATATATTATATATTATATATAATATATATATATATATATATAATATCCCTCTCTCTCTTTCTCTATCTATCTCTTCTTTCTTTCTTTCTTTTTCCCTCTCCTTCTTCCTCTCTCTCTCCCTTCCTTTAATATCTGACCTATTATTCAAGCGGGAGAATATTAAATTATCATAATAAGGCACATCCCGCTAATCATTAAAGATACACAGATAACAATTAATTAAAAACAGTAATTGAAGAAAATGGGAATGTGTATTGAGTGTGTACTGATAATTAATTTGTTATGCAAGTCATGGTCGACATATCTGCTTGGGGAATGTAATATGGTAAGCATTCCTATTTACTAATCGATGTGACGAATGCGGATTATGATTGTGATTATCGCTGTTGTTGTTGTTGTTGTTGTTGTTCTTCTTCTTCTTCTTTTTCTTTTTCTTCTTCTCCTTCTTCTTCTCCGTCTTCTTCTTCATGTTATTGTTGTTGTTGTTTTTGTTGTTGTTCTTCTTCTTCTTGCTGCTGCTGTTGTTGTTGTTATTGTTGTTATGATTGCTGTTGTTGTTTTTGTTATGTTTACTGTTGTTGTTGTTGTTCTACTACTACTGCTTCTTTATCTACTACTACTTCTTCTTTTTCTTTCTTCTTCTCTTTTCTTCTTCCTCTTCCACTTCCTCTTCTGTTGTTATTGTTATTATTGTTATGATTACTGCTGTTGTTCTTGCCGGTGAAACACGCGTTGTCAACCTCAGAACAAAACCGAACGATTTTTGTAGCAGCTGATACTTAGTGGTCACAGCAAGGCCTCCGGGAGAGCGTCTTGAAGAAAGATAATTTGGTGAAAATGTGACGTAAATCTGGGAAATCCAGAGTCTTGTGTGATACGTGAAGAAAGTTTAGAGTGTATGGACTTGGTGTATTGATAGAAAATGGGATTTATGTTTTGATTGAGCGCGAGAATAGGTTTCATTTAGAGAGAGGGAGAGGGAGAGGGAGAGGGAGAGAGAGAGGAGAGGGAGAGGGAGAAGGGAGAGGGAGACAGAGAGACAGAGAGACAGAGATAACGACAGGAGCGAGAGCACGGCGGAGATATACGGCGGATATGTAATTGTGATTGGTATTAAATCATTAACAGGATTGTGTGTGTTCAGTAGAGAGCCTCAGTTATTTACGTGTCTTTCTGTTATTGAATTGTCGGTTTCCTACTCATAGTTTATTTTAAGTCA